GGAATAGGGGAGAAGACACCCGGGGGGGGAGCAAGTGGCAGGGGAAGAAGGCACCAGAGGTGCAAGTGGCCAGGTGGAAGGGTCAGATAGCACGCACTAGGGAAAGGCATGTGTTGGGGAGGGGGGCAAATGGCAGGTGCAGGGAGGGCAAGTGTTGTGGGGGGGCAGGCAGGAGGACATGGGGCAGGCTGCTTCTGTGCCCTCCCCCCCCCCCCCACTGTTTTCCCCACCATGGAGGGGAGAGGGTATAAATGTAGTATGACCCTCCAGTAATTAGATTCTAGACATGAAAAAGTATATCAGAATTATACTTTTCCACATCTGGAATTTAATAATTAAGAAATCATCTTAAATTCGAAGTTGTGTTGGATTCAGGTAAATGCAGTTGGTCTTTTTGCAACATTGGTATCCATTTCATTAGCTGAATAACATTCTATGCCATATTTGCCAAAAGGTGCACCAGATAAAGGAATTGCATATTCCAATGTGTTTGGTCTGATAAGCAGCATAGCTACAGGGCACACAAAATTTAAACAAGTCTGTTTTTATTCAGATTTAGGTTCACACAGTTCTAAACAGTAAACATAATTAACAATACATCCATGGTACCAGAAATGTAGCTCCGGTATCAGTAGAAATGTCTACTGTTTAAGGCACTGAAAGTGGGAAGGAAGAAGAAATACATACTGTGGATTACTCCTGTTTAAACATTATTTTAATCCATTATGAATATGTACTCACTATGTATATGCTTAAAAATCCACAAGCTACATTCACAAAAATGTGCATACTTTCATAATTACTGAAATAGTAACCAGTTGCTTCCCCATTAGACTTGGAGTAAGTATTGCATGACTTTGGAACTCAATCAAGTGATGAACTACAGAAAGATAGTTTAAACATGTACAAATAAACAACTTCAGCAATATGGCTTTAAGACCCTGTATTTGGTCACAATATAAGCAAGCAGAGTTAGAGAAAGCATATAAGCACCATATACTGTGGTCTTAAAGGGAAGAGAGTTAATGTAGAAAAATTAGTTTTAACATACTAAAGCCAGATTTTATACAAATACCTTTATAAAACTGAATTACATATAGAAAATAATAAAAAAAATCAAATAGGCATAATTCTTTACATGTTACTATGCATAAAAATTTGCTTAGATTTATTTTGTACTACTTATACTGTTGGTGATATAAATTAGGGATATTGCAAAGTATTTTAGCTTGGTACCTACACAGCACAGCGATGAACACATTAGAAATATCGAAAACATCAGTTTTTCAAAATTCCTTAAGTCAAACTTTTATAACTGCCAAATAGATATATGATCACTAGGTTTTCAAAGGTGTAATAGTGACACCTTGTGACTAGTTTAAGAACCCCTAATCTTCATTTACTTTGGATTCCCTATATGGTATTTCTTTATAAATGCTAAACTGTTAAAGTTACAACAGGCGTTAGAACTCAGAAAAAGATCCTCATTTAGCCCATGAATGTACAAGGTCTTTACTTAAAAACAATATCAAGTACAGTATTTAGAGTCTTCCCTCCATACCCATAATCATTCAAACATTTGTTAGCCTTGTTCTTGTTCAAGAGGAGCTCATGCAAAGGGGTTCCTGGAACCCTTCAGTTCTGTTGAAGCCAGCAGGAGCTAGAAGTGTCAGTACTTTTTAGGATCAGATCCCAAAGTGTGGAATTTAGGCTACTATTAGACAGTGAGGAAAAACAGAAACATGAATTGCCGGTGTCTGAAAAACGCAAAACAAAACAGGTAAAATACTGGACTTGACCTCTAAGTAAAGGTTAAATTCAGTGGAATAAAAATGGTTACAAAACTCAAAATCCCTAAGAGATTTCCAAAAAGAACCCCTCAAATCCCACAAATGGGAAAAAAAATCAAGCTGATTACTTATTTTTCTAACAAGTGCAACACGCATCTACATATACATCAATCTCTATTTGGATTGAAACATTAGTTTTGTTCTAGGCAAGGAACAGACAGACGATACAAATACAACACAACAACAAAACTGCAGTAGTTTCTCCCCATCCCAAAGTTGCAGTATGTTAATATTTAAATTCTTCTGCAGATTATAAATCTTCCTTAGGATGTCTGTGTTTCTTTCCATTAAGGGAATCTTCTGTATCTGGTGCAAGCCATGTAAAATACACCTTCACTGGATCAATGTTCCAGTGTTTGTGAAAAGATATTGGAATTTGGTGAGAAAGATAGTCCTTTGGATAGTCCATTGGCCGTGCCTATATTGGGAGCATAAAGCAAAAATACTGTACTCACTTGTTGAAAGTCAAGGGATCTCTCTGACGGCAAAAATTCTGATATCATTAATATAATACTGCTGTAATGCAACAGTAACATTACTATGTATTTTTCTACAATTCCACAATATCAAATGCCGTGAATTGATCTGCACTCAAGCATCAATAACTTTTAAGGACAGCAATCATCATGCTTTCTAGGCTCTCCAGTTTCAGAAAGAATAAACTTAGGCCTGATGCCCAACTGAAAATGGTCATAAATAACAACTGAATCATGAATATAAAGGAAAAACAGCTGGAATAGTTCCTTGACTCTGTACACTATGTTTTCAATCACATTTTTTATGATGTACTGAGAACACTGACACTCCCTACATTCAGATCACTCAACACTCTCCATTAATGGTTCTCATGCCACTTTCCATTATTAATGGTTCTCATGCCACAATATTGATCCCCACTGGAAAGGGGCTTGCCATCTTGTGTGTGTGTATACACACACACACACACACACAAAATCAAAAATTGACAATACCATTTTAATTTTATTTTTTTTAAAAGTTTTGTCCTGATTTGTGTGCATTTGTGTGGTATATACAGAGGTGATTGCATAATAGCTCAAAATGAATCTTACTCTTGTATATTGTGGGGGTATGGGTGGGTGGGTTGAGTGGAGACGGGTGCGCGTGGATGTGGTGGTGTGGGTACATGTGTGTGTGCACAGCAGTGAGCAGGGTTCCCCACAGAGGTGCACGTGTGTGGAAGGGTGCGTGTGGGGGCGGGTGTGGGTGGGTGCAGTGTTTGTGAGTGTGTGATTGTGTGTGGGGGAGGGTGTGGTTGTGGGGTTTGAGGGTGAGGTTTTGTGGGTACGGTGGGGTGTGCATGGGACCCTCCCCATGAGCCCCCCCTGAGCTGGTCAGCACCTTCCCCTTCCACTGCCAGCAGTATGCAGCCCTAGTGCACCTGGTGCTCACTTCGGACTCACCCCTGCCAGAATGGATCAGCCGGAACCTGGGCTCAGGCCTGACCTGGGCCACTTCATACCACCCACCCGTGGCACATCCTGCTGCCATCTGGGCACACAGCAGGGCTGGGGCTGCTCCGCAGCTGGACTACCTTTCTAGGCAGCCCAGGCAGGGGTGGCTCCTTCTGGCTGCCACCACTGCTGGCCCCAGCCCTGCAGTACCAGCAGGGACCCATGCTGCACAGCCCTGACCCCACACACCCTGCACCTGCTCCAGGATCACCGCAGCAGCGTGGGACAAAAGCTGCTGCTCAGCGCAGGGGAAAGCAGCCCCTTCCCTTCCCACTGCCAGCTGTTTCCTACTGCATCTGCCCAGAGCTTGTGTAGGGTTGCCCTGCATCTACTCTGCACTGGCAGTGGAGATGCAGGGCAGCCTTGCATGGGCTCTGGGCGACTGTAACAGGGAACTGCCAGCAGTGGGATGGGGAGGGGCCGCTTTCCCTCCCATGCTGAGTAGCAGCTTTTGTCCCGCACTGCCACTGCCGAGCCTGGGCAAGTGAGGCCAGAGAAGGTGCAGGATGCATGGGGTCAGGGTTGTGCAGTACGGGTCCCTGGAGGTACTGTGGGGCTGAGGCCACTGGAGGTAGCAGCCAGAAGGAACCACCCCCACGCCCAGGCTGCCTAGAAAGGCAGTCCAGCTGCAGAGCCACCCCAACCCCACTGTGTACCCAGGGGTGGCAGGAAGCTCCACGACTGGACTGTGCCTGGGCCAGGGGACTGAGGGACCTGCCTTGGGCTGGACAAACACCTGCCACTGGCTGAATCCAGCCCACAAGCCGTATTTTGCCCACCCCAATATAGGAGTATTCCAGAGGTCTGTCAACCTGCAACTCAAGTGGTCCAAGTCTGAAACTTCTGCCTGACGTACAGATTTCAAAACACTGCTGATGCTGATAGAGGATGAGGGATTTTAAAAACTTTTTAAAGATAAATCTGGGAAATGCGTAATAACTAGTACAAAATAATACAAAGAGAGGAAGTTATTTCACTTGCACATTCAAGCCTTTGACAGTTAGAGTTGCCATTGTAACCTTAAACCTTCCCTCTTCTGCATATGTGATGGGATACAATATTTAACTAGAAGTTGACATACTATTTTGCTCCAATAGCATAACTGAGCATGGGTGAGCAGGGTAGATGCTCTGGGAGGCAGCAGGGCTCTATGCTCCAGCAACAGGGAGAGCAGGGGCAAGGAGTCTGTTCATCAGCTTCACTCCTAGTGGAGACCCCCAGGGGGTTAAACCCTCTCACCTGCCCCCTGCACCCACTTACCAAATTCAGGGTTTTAAATTGCCCCTTGGGATGGAAATCAGCACCAGCTGCCACATTAATCCCAAAGCTTCTGGCTGCACCAACACCTTCCCCCAACCAGCAGCCTCTTCCACTTCTTGGGGTATGAGGCTGCTGAGGGGATTCCTCCCCAGGGCACAAACTCTACCAATTATATATCTATATTTTTATCATAGGTTTCCAGCCTCATTCAGGGAATAAATCCTTTTCCCACTGATGTCTCTAGTGTAAGATCAAGAATGCACTACTTAGGATGGACATATATGGCAGCAGAATAAAAGTTACACAGGCAACTAGAACTCTAGAACTTCCTAACTTTTGCATACTTGACTTAGCAACCTCAGTACCTTTTTAGCACAGATTTGCATAAATGGATATAATTAAAAACACATTTTAAAGTAATCAGCCTTCTACTTCACATGATATTACATTGGCTGAAAGCTGTGCTACACAGCTGATTGTCAGTGGGTGCTGTGGTTTTACTTTACTTTGCTTGGTTATTACTCCTAGAGCAATCTGCAGGATCTACTTCCAAATGGACTATTTGGTCTACCTTTTGAGGTCAATAAGCCCCATGTGACAAGCAGCTGCCTGCACTGAAGAATTTGCACAAATATTAATGTGATAAGAAATTTTGGGTCAAATCCTAGAAACTTGTTTCATCCTCAGTTTTAAAACATTTTATACCATGCCCCTTTCTGGGCTGTTTGGTTTCTATGAAGAGAAGATGCTGGATGCCAGAACTATTAGTAGTGGCTGGTTAATATGATCCAAGACCCTACCACCTTAAAGATTAATTGCTAAAACATAAAGATCTTGTGATGTGACAAGATAACTGAAGACAAAAGATGCAACTCCTGTGCCAGATATCTGGACTTTGTTACCAGTTATCTACTGCACTGAAAGAGATGTAATTTAAATCATCCAGTATGTCGCTGGCTTTTCAATACAACAGGAGTATTATTTTTTTCTGTTACAGTTTAATGTTAAAAACAACAAGTTGCATTTGCAGAGATTCCTGTTAAAAACATTTAAATGTTACCAGTGCAAGTAAATTAGCAAAAGAAGCATATCTATACTCTAAATACAATTTGATCTCAAAATTTTAAGCCTTGTAGACTTAAAGAAGTTATTTCTATTTTCTCTGCTTTTATAGTAACATAATATGATCATTCTTTTCTTATATCACCTTTAAGTCATTGACAAATTAAAACTTGATTCGCACCATGCTGCAGACTTCACCTGGTGGTAGTAAATTAATGAACTCTATACATTGCTTTCTCATTTTGTGACCTGTACATTCTATTTACAAAACCAGGCAATATAATTTAATATTAACAATCTGTTCCTGGAATTTATTTCTTTTGATACTGTATCTATAAATATGCTTATTTTAAAAGTTCAATTGAAGAATGAAGGAGTCCAAGTCCTTTAAGTTCTTGGAAACTGCCAATCTTGGTGAACACCTTTGATTTCCATTACCTTAAATGTTTACAGAACCTCACAATGACAGTTATTGAAATACTGTCCCATGAGGCTGACAAAAAACTTCCTGTAATGGGGAGAACAGTTTGTTTACTTTGAAATTTATGTAAAGCTTCTGCTGCCTGGATAATTTTAAAGTAGTAAAATTCACTTTAATAGCTATTTGCTTTAATTGCATCATTCGGCATGGATCAGATGGCTTTATATGTGCATGCCTTTTAAACTATACTCCTCTCCTAACTGCCTTCCATTTCCCCCTTCTCTCCAGTCTTTTGGGATCCAATTACACTATACAATTAACATTAACCTGAATAGTTACGTTTTATTGCGTGTGATGGGTATTTTACAGAAACAAATAGAAATGCATAGTCCTTGTCCCAGAACCTGAGTGTGGGGCCTATGTCCATATGAAGGCCCATGGCTTCAAAGAAGCTCTGAAACAGGTTACAGAATCAGGACCTAAATTAATAAGTGAGATAAGGAAAATAGAATCAAGGCAAAACAAGGTTACAACAATACATCCATGCAATGCTCATTTCAAAATAAAAGTTACTTACAACTAACCATAGTTCTTCAAAATGGATTGTCTACACACATTTACACGTGTAGGTGCTCACCCTTGAGACTTTGACTGGGCACTTGTCAGGCACTACCTGAAGAGTGTGGCCAAGTCCTGTCCCAGTTCATCCCTTTACACCAAGGGAAAAAAGGTTGGAGCACACAGACACCACTCCTCAGTTTCCTCAACTGGTAAATTGGAAGAGAGCCTGAGGAAGAGGGAAAGGAGGGTGGTACTCAAATGGTATGTGGACATCTTGAAGAACTAGCAACTTCCATTCTCTTCTTAGTAATGGTAAAACACCTTCTCTTATGTGAATGACTCTAAAGCAGTGCTCATCAACTAGCTGGACGTGAATCCAAAGTAATAGCTGTGGAGAGGTCAAATGGAAGGTGATACTGGGAAAAGTCCTGATAATGGGAATGATAACAGTTTTTCCCCACTGGTAAGCCTTTTTTTTGTGACATGGCTAAAGAGTGGTATGGAAATAAATGTCCTAGAAGTCAAGTGCCTCTCTCCTGACCATACTGTCAAAGCCCCAGTCCTGTAGAAGGATCACGGTGAAAGGCAGATCTTTGAAACCTCAGACTATTTCTTGGTGTCTCCAACAGATGAGTATGAGAA